CTGTGTATTTTATTAATATATATACTGGTACGTATTTGTGTAAAACATGAGAAAAAATCTGCGTAACATTTAATTACATCCAAGATTTTTTTTCAAAATATGGTGATGCTTGAAAGTCTGATTTCAATGGAAAGTATCATCGACTCCCCCCCCCCCCCACCCCCACCCCCACCCCCTTATTTCAAGAGTTGGAATAAGGGATAATGTACTATTTAGCACTGGTATTAAAATAATGAATCAAATACCATTTAACTGTTTTTTTTATATTTAATAAAGATTTTATGGCTAAATTGCCATTAATAGTGAATAAATTGGTAGCAAAATGTAGGCGGGAATTGAGAGTTAGTGTGCATAGTTCTTTATATACCACTGTGACCTTGAACTTTGACCTTCTGTCCATATGGGCACACATTCATATTATGCTAGTTATTGTTGACCAGAACTGTAACTTTGTTTCTTCATTTGTTGTTTAAAACACAAATATTTGTTATGACACAGAAAAAATGTTGTTTAGTTTTCTTAAATATCTATCAAAATCGGCCATTTTGACCTTGACATTTGACCCTTAGTCATTAAAATTGATTTTTTTCTCTTTGTTTTTGCTATTGTTTACCATATATCTAAATTTGATTTAATCCATTTTATAAAATACTCAGGCAATTACATGGATCCTGATTGTATCTACGTATTGTACTTTTCTAGGATTTTGAAAAAAAGCATAAGTTTGTAACCATGGTAACAAGAAAACTAAATATGAATACCAAGTAGTTCTTTGTAGTGTATATTAGAACTATGTGTGGACTTTCAAATCAATTTATTCATTTTTTCCAAACTATCCGCAAAAATTTATACAAGGCTTTTCAAAAGAGCCTAAAATCTACAATTTTCAACAAGAAAAATCTTACCTATAAATGAGGGATATTTTTTCTATGAGGAAAAAGTTACTGAAATACTAAAAATTTTCTAAAGCACTGTAAAATGATGTATCTTGGCAAAAAAGTAAAGTCATGTTGATAGCTTGTTCCATTAAAGACTTTTAATAAGTCAAAAAGGGTCATTTTTCATAAAAATTTTGCGATTTTTAGGCCATGAAAAATGTATGTTGGTTGCCATGGTAACCATGGACCATAGCAACCATTTTATTATGGATTTTAGGTACATACATCAATATAGGAATGTATGCCAAGTTTCATAAAAATCCAAGACCATGCGTGCCACACTCCCTATATAAGAGTTTAAATGCTTACAGAGAATGGCTATGAAGATGCATGTCTCAGGTTGAGAAAAAAATACAAGAAGTGAAAAACTACAGTCGAGCATTTAACAAAAAATATCATCTTGGCTAAAAGATTTATGACACTCAAGGTCCAGTAAACACAGGAACCTCTTATTCACCATCTTCCCATTTTAATTATAGGTTTTCGTTTACTTAGCGAATTCGTAGTCTTATTACAGAAAAATACATGAAAAATGCAGGGAATTTCCAGGCTTTGTTTAATATTAGAATCAAACTGAACACTTCTTTTTTAGACATACTATATTCTGTTACATTTCAGTGGAACTTCTTTGCCAACTCTCAGAAATGTTTTATTTTACATGTTTATCCTTTATTTCAGGCCATACTGAGACTGAGTGGTGGAGTTTTAAAAAGAAGGATCAGTGAAATACTAAAATGACTATGAAATTTGTCAACAATAATTCATCACATTTGAAAAAAAAAATTGCCATTAGTTTGGGCAAAGACGGGACAAGACCAGTTTGAATTTTCATATATATGCATTTTTTTAAAAAACACTGACGCCTAGTACTGAGAAAAAGAAGGTGTTCAAGTTGCTTCAATATTTAATTCTTATTAAAAGCACTTTTATAATCTTTCTTTTTATCTCTGTTGTGTCAAAGGTTGTTGCAATCTCTGAAGTGTGTTTAGATATGGATTATGTGTGTCAGCAAAAAAAGAAAATAAATTAAAAATAGAATAAACAAATAAAAAGAATGGATCACCGAAATTTTCTTCTTGAATTTTAAAAATAGGATAACAGGTTTAGAATTATCAAATCGTCAGTTGTTGAATCTTTGGTCTCTGGAGTGTCAACGTCAAGTAGATCACTGTGACCTAAAGCTACTTTTGGAAGGTCAAGGCTTTACTGAGTGTTTCAAATGAAAGCAGGTTTAGCATCATCAAATTGTGTCAGTTATTGCATACTGGATTCCTGGAGTATGTCAATCACACTTAAGGCCACATTGACCTACTTTTGGCATCACAAGGATATAACCGGAAATTTTCAACAACAAATTTAGAAAAATCCGACTTTTTCAGTTGTTGTATCTTGGGTTCCTGGAGTATGTCAATTAAGACATCGTGACCTAATTTTGAAACTTCAAGTCTTTATCTGGAAATTTCCAATAATATCAGGTTAAGAATCATCAAAGTTTGACAGTTAGTGCATTGTTACAACGCAAAATGTAATAACGCCAAATGTAACGAACAGTGATTATTGCATTTTGCGTTATTACATTTTGCGTCAAAATCAACGCAGAATGTAATAACGCAAAATGTAAAAGCACACTTTTTAGGATGTTCACATTTTGCTTTATTTCATTTCGTATCGAGATTAATGCAGAATTTAATACCGCAAAATGTAATAACACGATTTTGGATTATTACATTTTGCGTCGGGATCAATGCAAAATGTAACAATTCAAAATGTTACAAACTGCTATTGATTACATTTTGCGTTGTTACTACAGATTTTTGCATGAGGTTTAGTGATAAAAACAGTATTCAAGCTCTATAAATCATAAAACAAAACATATCAGGTATAAAACAAACACGCCCATCAAAAACATCAGGGATTGGATGAGGTGTCATTGAGGAGTAAGCATCCCCTGCCGATCAGAAACACCCGCTGTGTGCTCCTTGTCATGATCGAGAAAAACGGGAAAAAACGGTAAAATCTTTAGAAAATTCAGTTTGTAAACAATAGACTAGCCATAACGATTGAAAGCTCAGTCAACATTTGACTTTATGATAGATTTTATTTGACTATTGATATTCTTGTTGTATGATTGGCTCTTGGCGTATATAAGCCAAGAAACGTCAAGGTGACCTGATTTTTATGGCCATATCAAACATTATGGTTAATAATTAGTTTAAAAACTTCAGACCAACTTTTTTTTATTTGATACATTTCAGGTCCTAAGAATGTGCTATCAAAAAACATACATGTCACTATGACCTAATTTTAGAAACAGTCAGGAAACTTTTTCTGAAACTTATTTGACCTAGAAAAATCAAACTTTTCTCTGATAGTTTGTCTTGAGCCTTCTTAGTGTATTAGCTAAATAGTAGATCACTATGACTTTCTCATTCTCGGAATTTTAAGGCATTTTTTAAAATGTTTCAAGAAAATATATTTATCATTCAATGGGTCTTGCAATTAAGGGGTTAAAATCATCAAACTTCGTCGACTGATGCATTTTGGGTTCTTGGAATGTATTATTAAGAAAGAATGTCGTTCAATCATACTTTCTAAATTTCATTGCTACATTGAAATATTTTCAATAGTAAGAGAATAAGATAAATCAAATTGTGTCGGTAGATATATAACGGGTCTTTTGAAGTTGACTTTAAAGAAGGACACCATGACTTACTTGAGGAATTTGGAGAAAATATCTAAATATTTCAAATAATAAGAGGCTTAGGTTCTTCGTCATTTGATGAATCTTGGTTTTCTGGTGTACATGTATGTTAATTAAAAAAGTATGTAATGATGATTTTGTTTTTCAACACCACGGCCATGTATAAACATTTGGTAAATAGAAGCTTAGAAACATGAATGTTTGTTTGATGATGCATATGGGTTTTTCGGAGCATGTCAATTAAAGGTATATTAATGTGACCTAGCTATTTTTTTTTAAATTCCATGGCAATATCTAAATGGTTAGGAATATAAGAGTCTTAGTTTAATTAACCGTTATCAGATGTTGCATCTTAAGTATTTAGTGTGTAATTACCTTACAGGAGGCCGACCTGACCTACTGCTGGAATTCCAACACTTTAGAGCACAAGGTAGTAGAAGGGAAAGATCGCGGTAATACAATAGTTGTTACTATAAATCCGATGCTTCTTAAAAGAAATACCTGTGTATTTTTTTTTACAAAATTGAAGAATAAGAACACTGAATACTGTAACTTTTATTTGCGTGCGAGAAATATTCGCGAGTTTCTCGACCTACTTTAAGTTGCAGTAGAAATCGCCGCGACCCCTTGCTTTGCTTTGTTTTTGTAGAAAATGTTTCCTTATTCGTGAAAATTGATCACCGCAGATAAATTTCAAACCCATGAATAGCGAAAAAAAGACGACGCGAATAATATTTGGTTTTCAGAAAATTAATTAACATTAAGTTCCAGATCCAGTGAATGTGAGTTGCCTGATGTTTTTCAAATTCAATTTAGAGAACAATTCTATTAATAAAAAAATAAAATCTCGCAAGGCATTAGTGATAGTGGCCTGGTGATAATTCATTGATTATTTTGTTTGTAAAATCTATATATCATATCTAATTACTTAGTAAACATTTAAACAAAATATCTTTTTTTCTTTAGTGTATTTATACGCCAGTCATATACCATACATATACATGTAGGTATCAATATACATAAATTTACATGCCTTAAGATTCACGGAGAAATTAAAAAGAACACTTTTGTAGTGTTTATCATAAGGAAAGCAATTGGAAATGGAAATATATTGATTATAAACGCTAATCACTTCCGCACAGTAAATTATATTTACATGTACATATGAGAATGTCATGACTTTGTAGATTCTTTCGAAGAATCGGTGAATAGCAAAAAGTTTGTGTCGATCTTAAGCTCATTTTCAACATAATTCTTTACTTCATTATGCTAGACTTAAGATGTCAGGGATATCTATTTATAATTCCTTTTCTTCTTATGTTGAGATGTGGGTTATACACTTTAAGAACTTGAATAAATGAAGGAAACAAAACAAAATGAAATTTTAACAAAATTTAATAAACAAAACAAAAGTAAATTGTACAACAAAAGAAACAAATTAAAAAATATAGAAATGAATTGTCTATCAGCCGCACGTCAGTCCTGGAAGAATGTTCTTTAAAACGTAGTCAATTAATCACCACACCCTTGCTGGAGGTTTGAGTTCCGGTTTTTGAATTTCCTCTGATAAACGGGTTTTCTTTCACAAATTAAATTGAATATTATAACTTTCACAAGTATCACATATATCACATAATAAACTTTCACAATGCCGTCTAGATTAACTTTGGTTTGAATTTATATTATTTTAAACAGGAGATTTCATTATAACACATAACTTAAAATTGCAGGTCCGGATGTGTCCGTCAGGGCTGCCGTACTCTTTCGTACTCTCTCACACAGTTGCCGCTGTTACTGCAAAACCATTACCCATTGCAAGCCTCTCCCTGTCTCCCTGGACTGCCGACTGGCTATTGTCAATGTAATTAGCTGTAGTACCCCGCCCAAGACCTGATAATTACGAAACGGGACAAAAGCCCGAGGAAATAGGACCCTGGGGAAAAAAATAATAAAACAACCATACTAAACGTGCAGACTCACACAAGAAACCATATTTTACAAATTGTATTTTCAAATACCTGATGTAGTTTGAGTACCCGCCCAGGCTACTTCATCATAACAACAAGCCAAACAGGTCTTATCTCGGCTGTGACTTCCCGGGTACTACCCGAACACGAGCTCTCAGGTAGATAAAATTACACATCGAGGGGCTCCCCACAGGATAAATAACAATATTTACACTAACGCACTAGGGGTATCCTACGGGATTAAATTTAGTTTGTTACAAACCTCCCCCTTTTGAAGACTAAAGCACCATTTAGTCCAACCTATTTACAAACTAAATACATAGAAATCAACCACATATATACAAACTGGAAATATTCCCCATTGATCTTGGTTTACTCTAACTCTTCACTAGACCTTGACAACGCATCTGCAATAACGTTCTGATTACCTGGAATATACCGAACTGTAAAACAAAACTCCTGCAATAGAAGACTCCATCTCAAAAGCCTCTGATTTGACAGTTTTGATCTCTGTAACCACGTCAATGGAGCATGATCAGTTTCAATAACAAACTGCTTACCTTCTAAATACACTCGGAGTGTTTTGACAGCCCAAATAATTGCATAGCATTCTTTTTCAATCACCGCATAGTTTTTCTCTGCTGCTGTAAACTTTTTACTCAAAAAGAATATTGGGTGCTTACCAGTGTCGAACTCTTGTTCGAGGACTGCGCCTGCTCCAGTAGCACTTGCATCTGTACGCAAGACAAACATTCGACTAAAATCTGGACTGTGCAATATTGGTTCACATGCCAACTTACCTTTAAGTTCCTTGAAAGCAGTATCAAGATTATCTGTCCATTTTATTTTGTGTGGTGAATTCTTTTTGGTCAAGTCTGTGAGTGGTAGGGCAAGACTAGAAAAATTAGGAATAAACTTCCTGTAAAATCCAATGAGACCCAAAAATGACCTTACCTTCTTTTTGGTGTTTGGGACCGGAACGTTTTGAATTGCTTGCACCTTTGACAACAATGGCTTTATCTTACCGTCACCTACCATATATCCGAGGAAACTGACCTCACCAAACCCCAATTTGCACTTTGACGGTCGGGCTGCTAAATTTGCATTCTGCAACGCTGTAAAAATCTCTCTCAAATGCACCAAGTGATCTTCCCAGGAATCGCTGAAAACACCAATGTCATCTATAAAAGCTTCTGCATAGTTTTCATGACCTTCAAGGACTTTACTCACCAATCTCACAAAAGTTGCGGGAGCATTTACCATCCCGAATGGCATTACCGTGAAACTGAAATGACCAAAAGGTGTAACAAAAGCACTTTTCTGTTTTGCCTCGTCATCTAGTGGCACTTGCCAATAACCCTTAGTAAGATCCAACTTACTGATATACTTAGCTCTACTAATTTTGTTTAGAATATCATCCATTCTTGGCATCGGACGAGGATCAAACACAGTTACCTTATTTAGATCCCTATAATCAACGCAGAATCTAAGGGTGTCGTCATTCTTTTTGATGAGTACAATAGGCGCTGAGTAAGGGCTTTCCGTCTCCTCTATGATTCCCATCTCTTTCATCTGCTTGATTTCCGCCTTTACCTTTTCCTGTAGCGCATACGGAATGGAATAAGGTTTCTTCTGGATTGGTTCCTCGGTTGTCGTTTTAATGGTGTGCTGGATGTAGGACGTTTTCTTTGGAACATCTGTAAATACATTCTCAAATTCTTCTACTAACCTTTTGAGTTGTCGTTTCTGCTCTTCTGACAGTTCTGACGATATCTCAACATTATCTGATGATTCTGTCTGTTGAAGGATTGGTGCTCTATTGTTAGTGCAATCGTCCTCATCTGAAAAATTTGGTTTTGCATCCATACATGCCAAAACTTCATTGCTTTTCGGACACTTCTCTTCCGAATCTCTGCTAAGCCACTCTTTCAACATGTTGACGTGGTAAATCGGTTCTTTATTCTTGGATATTCTTACCTTGTAATCCACTGGACTTACCTTTTTCACTACTTCATACGGACCTTTCCATTGCGCCATCAGCTTAGATGTGCTAGTTGGAAGAAGTACAAGAACTTTCTGACCTACCTCAAATGTACGAGTTCTCGCCTTTTTGTCGTAGTACATCTTTTGTTTCTTTTTCGCGAGTCTCTCTGAATCTTTAACCAAATCTCTAATGTTCTGCATTCTCTCCCTCGTCTCCAGAATATAGGACAACACTGAAGCCTGTTCGACTGTAGGTTCCTCCCACTGCTCTTTCAAGATTGCTAAGGGCCCCCTAACATGTCTACCATAGAGCAATTCAAAGGGAGAATACCCAGTTGTCTCATTTGGCACCTCTCTGTATGCAAAAAGAACGTAAGGCAAATGAACATCCCATCTGTGAGGTTCAGAAGAAGCATATGCCTTCAGCATTTTCTTCAAAGTCCCATTAAATTTTTTCCACTAACCCATTTGCTTGTGGATGGTAAGGGGTAGTTGTTAATTTTCTTACCTGAAGTAACTTACACAATTCAGTCATCAGTGTGGACATAAAATTGGTACCCTGGTCCGACAGAATTTCATTAGGCACACCTACCCTAGAAAACAGCTCTATCAAAGTGTTGGCCACTGTCTCTGCTTCTTGGTTTTTCAAAGGAAATGCTTCCGGATACCGTGTTGAGTAGTCCATACAAACCAAGATGTAACGATTTTTCTTCTCCGTCAGTGGAAGAGGTCCAACAAAATCGATGGCTATTCTTGAGAATGGTTCCTCAATGGGTGGAATAGGAATGAGTGGAGCTTTTGGAGTTCGACCTTTTGGTGTTCCCTTTTGACAAATAGAACAAGATTTGCAGAATCGAGATATGTCAATATACATTCCAGGCCAAAAGAAATGTTGCATAATACGCTGCCTGGTTTTCTTGTTACCTAAATGTCCTGCTAGTGGAGTGTCATGAGCCAGGGACATTACCTTCGACCTCATTGTCTTTGGTATGACGATCTGGGAAAATTTCTCACCAGAATCTTTCTGAAATATTCTATACAGTAAACCATCCTGTTTCTGAAAGTAAGACTTACCTTCTTGAGTATCGTCTTGTGCCATACTCAGTGCAGATTTCAAACTGTCATCTGATTCCTGAAGTTCTACCAACTTATCTCTGCTGCACCACAATTGTTTCAAAGATTCATCCTCTGAATCCTCTTCTGTTGCTTTTCTCTGAGAATTACTATTACCTTGCTCCAATTTGGACTGCAAACGTGTCTGAACTGCAGCACAAGTGTTCTCGTCATCTCCATCCCTCTTGACTTCTTTTTCGTCCTCCATTGGTTTGAGTATGCTAACATTATTACCAATAATTACATCAGCAAAAGGAGAATCAAGGACAAGGGCATGTACCTTACCTGATACATAAGGAGTCTTCAAATCTACCATTGCCTCATCACAGTTTCTTTGAGATCCATCAGCCAGAGTTATCACTCTTGAACGTCCTGTTTTATCAGAGTCTGAAATAAACTTACTACGTACAAATACAGTAGAGCATCCGGTATCTCGTAAGACTGCAACTGGTTGATCACTCACCTGGCCCTTTACTAAATCCCAACCCAATGCTGCCGATGTTTCAATTACTGGCGACTCGTTATCAACTCCGGACAACTTAAGAATCACCCTACCCTTGGTTGTATCTTGTATATTGTCTGCAACTTTAGACTCAGACTTATCTAAACACAAACCAACATTTTCTGACCTTTTCTCAGGCTTTGTACCTCTCTGACCTTTACTGTCTTGACCCTTTGACTGAGTTCTCTTAAGAAAACAGTTGGCTGCAATATGTCCTACTCTATCACAATGAAACACTTTCTGCTATCCCCTGCATTAAAAATGAGACTTGAGATTTGACTTACCATCTTGAGAATTTGTCGAACCAAACTTGTTTGGCTTTCCCGTCGACCTATTCCCTGTACTGAGAAATTGGACACTATTGCCACTAAGATACTTACTCTTATGTGCCGCCTGAAATGCATTAGACAACGCAACAACCTCCTCAATAGACTTTGGGTCATGTTCCAGAATCCACAACTGTAAGTCTTTTGGACAACTTCTAACAACCTGTTCTCTCAAGACCATATCATACAACTTGCCAAAATCTGAATCTATTTTCTCACCTTCACACCAGTGATTGAGGCACCTTTCTACCCTAACAACAAAATCTTTAAATGACTCATCATTTGACTGCTTACCCTGACGAAATTTTTCCCTGTAATCTTCAGAAGTAAGCTCATATCTCTTGAGAATAGCTGTTTTGATAATCTCATAGTTATCACTATCTGCATCCGACAACCTTGAATACGCTTCCAAAGCCTTACCTGCTAACATAGGAACTAAGCGTATAGCCCACTGGGATTTATGCCATTTCTGCAACCCAGCTATCTTTTCAAACGACCGTAAAAAGACATCAGGGTCCTGTCCCTCCTCAAACTTAGGTAACTTAACAGGTGGGCATTTAATCTTATGGGGTTGAGACCCCCCAATTTTAGCATGTTCTAACTCTTTTTCTCTTATAGCTAACTCTCGTAATTTCACATCTCTTTCTACCTCTAACTTTACACTTTCTCTCTGCGCCTGACGCTCTTCTCTCTCTTGCGCCCATCTCTCCCTTTCTAACTCTCTCTTTGATTCCTGCTCCTGACGCCACATCTCGAGACATTCTTTTACGTTTGTACCCTTTTCAATTAAGTCAGACATCCATTCTGGCATACCAGACATTGTGAAAGTTTGTGAACCTGAAACACAAAAGCAAAATTAATAATAGAAACAAACTTGCAAAAAAAAAAAAATATTTCCTCTATTTACCCAAGCTCAGATGTATCCCACCGCTGCCACCAAATTGTTGAGATGTGGGTTATACACTTTAAGAACTTGAATAAATGAAGGAAACAAAACAAAATGAAATTTTAACAAAATTTAATAAACAAAACAAAAGTAAATTGTACAACAAAAGAAACAAATTAAAAAATATAGAAATGAATTGTCTATCAGCCGCACGTCAGTCCTGGAAGAATGTTCTTTAAAACGTAGTCAATTAATCACCACACCCTTGCTGGAGGTTTGAGTTCCGGTTTTTGAATTTCCTCTGATAAACGGGTTTTCTTTCACAAATTAAATTGAATATTATAACTTTCACAAGTATCACATATATCACATAATAAACTTTCACAATGCCGTCTAGATTAACTTTGGTTTGAATTTATATTATTTTAAACAGGAGATTTCATTATAACACATAACTTAAAATTGCAGGTCCGGATGTGTCCGTCAGGGCTGCCGTACTCTTTCGTACTCTCTCACACAGTTGCCGCTGTTACTGCAAAACCATTACCCATTGCAAGCCTCTCCCTGTCTCCCTGGACTGCCGACTGGCTATTGTCAATGTAATTAGCTGTAGTACCCCGCCCAAGACCTGATAATTACGAAACGGGACAAAAGCCCGAGGAAATAGGACCCTGGGGAAAAAAATAATAAAACAACCATACTAAACGTGCAGACTCACACAAGAAACCATATTTTACAAATTGTATTTTCAAATACCTGATGTAGTTTGAGTACCCGCCCAGGCTACTTCATCATAACAACAAGCCAAACAGGTCTTATCTCGGCTGTGACTTCCCGGGTACTACCCGAACACGAGCTCTCAGGTAGATAAAATTACACATCGAGGGGCTCCCCACAGGATAAATAACAATATTTACACTAACGCACTAGGGGTATCCTACGGGATTAAATTTAGTTTGTTACATCTTACTAAGAAAATTTATACATATTCTGTCGAAGAACACATCTGCGTTTAACCTTTTAACGCTTATGCCCGGGTATACATTATCTTTTTAAAAGATATTATAAGGTTTATTTGCCAAAATACTTTCCAATAATATGTTTCACCTCTGTTATATATATAGCTAATAGATAGTTTATAATAAAAAAGAGACTAAAATACAGGAGATTTTAGCATTCAATATCTTAGTGTTTTATTGAATGCTTATTTTGTATTATATATATCAGCATATATTTGTATCATATGAGCATATATGAATGTGCCCGAAGCATTCCGAATACGATCAAACTCCCTGAAGTGAACAAAAAATGTGTGGTCAACATTTTGGAGGCAAATTTATATTAGACAGTGACTTTTAAGAAAGAATTGTTTATTTTCACGCAAAATTAAAATTATTTAATTTATATATTCTTTGGCCACACGAGACACCTCGTGCCAATATTCACCAATATAAGTTCAATATCCCTATAATATTTGCTAATTAACAAGATCATTATATCAACTTGGTCGGAAAAGCTGAAACCTATGTGGAAGCTTTCTGATCAGTTGATTTTCTCAATTTTTCACATCATGGATCTGGGGAATAGGGTGCAACACATTAAGAAATCAAAGTTTTACAATAAATCGTATGGAAAAATCATTAAAAAAAAAACCCCTCTCAAGCACTGCCAAGCCAAAAAGTTTGAAACTTACGAGGAAGCATGCTGTGGTAGTTAAAATTGTTGAAAATACAATTATTCAAATAATGACCCTGGAATAGGGTGGGGTCGTTGTAAGGAATCAAAGATTTACAATGAATTATGCAAGAAAAAAATATTCTTATTCTCAAGTACTATTGGGATAGAAAGGACGAAATGTATGTTGGAGCAAACTATAGCAAATTGTTATGCTTCCTGACAGTTTGTTCCTATATAACCCATACCCTACTATTCTCGCATAGTGGTCTACGGATTTATAAAGCGTAAGCATACTATGCCGAAATAGTACATGGCCTTATTTACTGAATAAAATTCTTCAGTGCACAGGCCGGGAATAGAACTCACGACCATGAGATTTCCAGTCCGATGCCTTGTCGATTACGCAACTGCTGAGACTATCACTAATTGGGTGAATTCTATTAAATATATAAACTTAATTTATACAATTGACACAAGAAGGAGAAAATAGACAAATATTATTTGAAAAAAGTTATATTATTCGAAGGAATCTTAGATAAATATGTACAACAAAGTTTCAAACTAATTACACACAGATCGTTAAATGAACTGATACCATGGGGTCATTAAAACGCTTTTTTATATAACGCTTGATTGAAGGACGTAAAAGAAAATTATCAATGAAAATCGACGTCTGCAAACAAATCAGTCTTACTAACAAATGAGTAACTTTGGGACAGAAAATCCTGACTTATTTAGAGAAAATACTAGTAACCAAAATAACTAAGCAAGCAGCCTTTTTTAGCATGAAGATTTTGAATGAGTTCTTACAAGTACGCTGTATTAGCACCGATATTTTTAGGGAAACGTCAAATGGATTGCCGCATAAATAATTACAACAGTCAGCATAATAATAACAATAGTGTTGCATTATGCATGTACTATGCCTAAATAGTAGGCAGGGTTTGAAACATAGTGTACTCGCCTCCTGCTCGTGCACCATGTGTCAAACCCTGCTTACTTTTTAAGCATAGTACATGCATAATGCAACACTATTATATAAATATATTTTTGTCAAATCCCTTAGCTCTCATTTATTTTGGCTCTGTTTGATTTTCATAAATCACTCAAACACAAATTAGAATTGAAAATGGTCATTTATTAAATAAATGACGTAATATTGGAACAAAACACTAACTACAAAAATTTGAAAATAAAATAACCCGGATGTATATTAAAAAACATATACTATTACATCCGGGTCAACACCCTTGTAAAAATCATTCTGCCTTGTAAAAATCATTATGCCAACATGAACAAAGAGTATTACATAATATATTCATCGTCATGTTCTTGAAAATCAAAGGTGGGGGACCAAAAATTGCCCCAAAACACATTATGACAAACCAAAAATAATAACACAGAAAAATATAAAATGATTGACTAGAACAAATTTTCATAATAAACAAATATTACAACTGATGCCTAAACGACATTATGAATACGAGCTGTAATTAAAACAAAAATAAATGAAAAATACTAGTTTACACATTGCATTAGGGAGGGTGGTGGGCTGTAAAAAACTTTCCAGCTACCAACAGCGTGACACTTGATCTTTTGTTTTTGTTTGCAATGCCCCCTAGCGGTGAGCAAGATTAGATAACTCTTTCCAATTAATCTTAAGTAGGAGATAACTCTCTTTTAACAATGATTGCCAAAAACACATTTATGTTCATAAATGTTATTTTTTGTCAAATCCCTTAGCTCTCATTTATTTTGGCTCTGTTTGATTTTCATAAATCACTCAAACACAAATTAGAATTGAAAATGGTCATTTATTAATTAAATGACGTAATATTGGAACAAAACACTAACTACAAAAATTTGAAAATAAAATAACCCGGATGTATATTAAAAAACATATATTATTACATCCGGGTCAACAACATCTCTGCCTTGTAAAAATCATTATGCCAACATGAACAAAGAGTATTACATAATATATTCATCGTTATGTCCTTGAAAATCAAAGGTGGGGACCAAAAATTGCCACAGTATTACTTGAAAGGCGTATTGAAAAGTAATACCCCCCACCCCAAAATGAATGAGAAACACAACTGTATAGCATAATTAACTTACATATGTCAATGGCAAGAGATTGAAATGAACTTAACTACATGACTAGATTTCTACCATGCAATATAACTATATAACAAAACAACACGTAAGAAAAACTTTTTTCTTCAAAAATACATAATTTCATAAAGATACATTAACATTCCATTCCAACAGAGGTCCGAAGCCCCATGCCAGAAAAATACTGCAGTAATTATTTTCAAACTAACATTACCGTATATGATACAAAAAACTTAGTGTCCATACTCTACAAGTAACTTTAGAGGACAGAGGCCCCTGACCCCATGTCCTGTTTACAAATTCAATAAAGGAATTCGAATGTATTTCCTATACGCATTAGATTTCCCACGTCCTAAAAGTTGAATTTGGTCATCGGAAACTCCTTTTGATTTCGCCCATGTTGTTGCACCAATTCTGAAAGAATGTCCTTTGTAACTTTTTGTGTCATAGTTCAAAAAGGTTAAAGAGATTTTCAATTGTTGATTGAAATATTGCCTAGATATTGGGGATTTGTCTTGGAACATAAACAGTGGACCTGCATTCTGTCCTCTCAATTTTATATAGTCCCATATAGCTAAAACTGGGCATAACTGCTTGTTTTCCTTGTTTGCTGATAATTGTAAAGTAACAGGTGGTTTTCCAATATGATGCTTGAAGTTGACCATGGTTACACACAAACTTTCGGGGGACCCATCATGTTGTTTCCCAAATGATACTGCTGATAGTGGTAGTGGATCTCCCAGAGAAGAGGATGTTATTTCACCTATCCTTAGGAAAGCATGAAAAGCTAAAAGGAACATAGCCTTGAATAAGTGCATTTGATAATAAGATTGGGTGCAATTCGGCAAAGAGTTCACAATTTGTTGAAGCATCAATGGAGTAATTGGAAGTCTGCTATCTGGCTTTGCTTTAAGCTTTTGAAAGCCTTGGATGGCTCGTTTCACCTTAAAATGTTGTGTTGGGTCTTCATTACCTTCCATTTTGCTGAAATGTGTGAGTGCTGACAGGTAGCCTAAAACTGTTTGTGGAGCCAAACTCTTTTGAAAACAATGAGATATGAACAAGAATAATTGGTTTGCGGAAATTGGGAATAACTGGGAATCAGGAAAGTACTTTTGTTGAAAAGTTGTGTACACTTCTCTGGCTCTTCTATAGGATGCTCTTGTTCCCACTGTTAATGCGTTTTCAATCAAATATGTTGACACCGAATTTAGAGCTTGAACATCTCTTCTGGCACAGATACTGGGTTCTGATTCATTGTTGGAGCAAGTTTCCGGAATTCTTGTATCTGTAAACGAGACAATTTATCACTAAGTATATTGTTCACACCTTTTACATGTTGAGATTGAAAATAAATGTTAAATTTCAGACACTGAACTATAAGACGACGTAATAGTTTCATAAGTCATACATCTTTAGCTGTTTGTTTATTGATCACTTGCACTACTGCCATATTGTCCGAAAAGAAACAGACTTTCTTGTTTGCAAACTCTTGAGCCCATACTTGAACTGCGACCACAATTGGAAAGAGTTCTTTGATAGAAATGTGATACTTGGACCATGATGAAGGCCATTCACCATAAAACCATTTCACTCCAAAATATCCACCAAATCCAAGTCCACTTGCATCTGTGAATAGTTGCAATTTGTCTGATGTGTACCATACATCTTCTAAGAACAGTGATTTCCCATTGAAGTGGTTAAGGAATATTGACCACGCTTCAAGGTCGGCTTTTGCTTCTTTGCCTAATCTGCGCCTATGATGTGGTTTCTGCAAGCCTTTTGTAAGATCTATTAATCGGCGTAAAAATGTTCTGCCTGGTGGCACAACTGAACATGCAAAATTCAAGAGCCCGATTACAGACTGTAGTTCCTGGAGTGTAATTTTCTTTCGGCTCTTATAAACATCAATTTGGGAATGCATTCGGAGCAATTTTTCTTGAGGCAAACGGATTTCCATGGCTACTGTGTCTAATTCAAGACCTAAGAAAGTTAAAACTGTTGTTGGAAATACAGTTTTTGATTCTTTTATTGGTACCCCTATAACATTCATAAATTTCAAAAATAATTTTAGTTGGCCATTACAGGATTCCATACATGGTGGACCAACCAACAGGAAATCATCCAACAAATGGACACATCCTTCAATTTTTAATTTTTCGTTCACCACCCAATGAATTGCTGTAGAAAATTTTTCAAATAGATTACAGGCAAAGCTTAAACCCATAGGTAATGTTTTATCATAGTAGAAGTAATCACCAATGGCAAATCCAAAAAGTTCATGATCAGAAGGGTGAATTGGAATGTTTTTGTAACCGTTTTCAATGTCAGTTTTTGCTAACAGAGCTCCTTTCCCAAAATGCTGAATAAGTTTAATGGCGTCATCTACTGTTTGATAGGAAACTGCCGAATCTTCTTTACCAATGCCATCATTTATTGAAGAGCCGTCCGGATAAGAAAGGTGATGTATTATTCTATATTCACCTGGTGTTTGTTTAGGAACTAATCCTAGGGGAGAAACTTGTAAATTTTTGAATGGCAATTTATCTAATGTAAATGGGCCTGCTGCTCGTCCCTTTTTAACTTCTATGTCAATTTTTTGCTGCAGAATGTCTATATTTTCCTTCGCAGATTTGAGATTTTCACTAAATCTAAATTTTCTGTCTCCATGATAAGGAATTCTGAAACCATTTGTGAAACCATCTATGAGGTATTGTCTTTTTTCCTGATTAAAATTTTGGAGCCAAACTGCCAATGTCTTTACACGAATAGGAGTCACAACATTACTTCTTGAATGGAGTTTGGGTATTTGCTGGCTTTGTGTTTGAGTGATTAGGTTTCTTGTTGTTGTCTGGAAGTCGGCAGTCTTTTTTGTTGTGGTCTCCAAAACATTTACTGCATATGTGTGCATACTCGCAGTTCGATCTTGCACACTGTCCAGCATTGTTGTTGAAGCTAAAACATGGCTTTTTGTTGTTTTTGACACGAAATGGCTGCTGCTGGTTTTGTTTTGGTCGACTGGTTTTTCCCTCTGTTTGAAACAATTTTGATTTTAGACCAATCTGCAGAGCTTCAGAATGAAGCTCAGAGTTTATCTTCTCCCACGGCATCTGGTCTAGATTCTCTGCCCTCCATTTTCTGAATTGCTCGTCATAGTGGAATGCAGCTCTCTCCCCGACATCAGAACTTAGCTTCTGGACTGTGGCCATGTACTTCATGAGGTTTGGTGCCTGTTCGGGGAACTTCTCACAGTAAATTGCCACAAAAACGTGGAAGGCTCCTGTCCACTGTTGTAAGGATTTGAAGAAGTATTTGTGTTCCTTTTGAAGAAATGTGACGCTATTGTCACTTGCCTGCACCGCCTCCAACTTGGCATATGGTTGTTTGAACACCAGACATCCTAACTGGATGAACTCCTCAGCCCATATCTTTGCCTTAATTTTTGTATCGATCCCTTGACCCAAAGGACGACCAATGTGAAGTGGCCCTGTACCCTTATTTTTATTACCTTCAGTAGTCGATGATTGCAGTGTTTCTTGTGATGGTGCAGGTGATGTCGCAGATGACGCTACAGATGATGTCGCAGCTGATGTCACAGGCAATGTTGCATATGATGTGGATGACATGGAAATTCCCTCCAAATTGCTGCCCGTATTAGACTGGTTAGACTGAGATGAGGTATCTTTATTTGCAGTTACCCTCAGAGTTTCTTTCACAGTTGCCACAACAGTCTCTGTGATGGCTGGAAGGGCCTCTGCCAGAACTTCCTTCATTGGGTTTTTAATTTTGTCTTTCTCTTCCTCCTCATTTAATCGTCGTCTTTTCTTTGGTTGGGACATGTTTGGATCTTCCAGTACAAAAAACCAGCTTTCACCTGGGTATGATTACAAATAACTATCCTTCTCTCCTTCAGCTGAAATTAATAATATTATTAATCATGAATCATTATCTACAATTGCTAAGTGTGACTGTAAAATTCTTAATTTTGACTAACGCCAACTTTCATAGTTAACACTATGAATTTGTATGTATGATTAACTACTGTAGCTAACGCTACCAGGTATGGCTAACGCCTCAATCTCATAGCTAATGCTAGATAGTTCAGCCATTGAAACATTATTTGTACAGCTAATGCTGTGACCCAAATTGATGAACATCAATCACTTACACAATTCTGTGATCTCATAGCTAGCACTATGACCTTGTGTATAATCAACTTTGTAGCTAACGCTACCACAACTAATATGGCTATCGCCTTAATATCATAGCTAACGCTACCACAGTTTAAGCACTCTAAGCATTATGTGTATTTGTACCGTACAGCTAGCGCTGTGGTGCAAATTGTTGAAAATCAATCACTTACATAGTTCTGTGAATATAACCCTGGCTACCGCCTTGGTTATCCGTCTATATATCTCAAACTGAAAAGATAATAAATATATGTAAATAAACATTCTCTTCTATCACAATATGCATTTCAACTTTTTGAATGATTAAATCATCTTATCATACAATAACATATACATTTTTAATTATTCATTTATTGCATTACAATATAAATTCCTATATAAGTCTTTACATGTCATCATAATTCATTTGGCAGTAAAATCATGACCAACTGTCAATACAATTATTACTTCTTGGTCATAAGCAATTTTTCTGTTGACTGTTTAATAGACATTTATACAATATTTATTGATAAATTGACATGCACATAAAATTGTTTCTGTAGTATTTTGGCAGACGATATTGTTTGTTTACTTGCACCCCATCATGAAAGAGATTTCGCACACTGTTTATAAGTCCACACAATTTCCCCTCGAGATGTCTTGAAGTGAATTGTTCTTGTAACATTTTTGTTTGCATGAGGGACTAGGTCATTGAATGTGAAATTGAGAGGTGTCTTGTGTTGTCACCAAAAGAAATTTGCATACCATTAGTTTTACTGCATATCTACATACAGATAGTTTAACACTTTCCAGCTACAAACAGCGTGACTCTTGATCTTTTGTTTTGTTTGCAATGCCCCCTAGCGGTAAGCAAGATTGGATAATTCTTTCCAATTAATTTGGAAAAAGGAGATAACTCTCTTTTAACAATGATTGCCAAAAACACATTTATGTTCATAAATGTTATTATTCTAAATCGTTAAAATCATGATCATTGAGGTAGGGTGGGGCCATAATAGAGAATCACAGATTTACATTGAAATATACATGGATAATCTTTTAAGATCCTCTTTTCACAGTATAGAATTATGGGATATTTTTTAATTGACACATATAGGAAAGTTATCACCCAAACAACCATCCCCATGCCTCGCAGTCGAACCCGCGAAGTAAGGATCAACTCCTTATATTTTTTGTGCATACATTAACCATTGCACCACCTGCGTAACTCGCAGATAATTGAAAGACGATGAATCGCAAATTAAATTGTTCAAATAAATATTTAGACGAGTCATAAAAATGAGTGAAGTAACACTTGATGATGTCATGATTATTTATGTTTACTAGCGATTATCAGTCGCGGATCCAGGAATTAAACTTAGAGAGGCGCCAAACGTAGGGAAGGGGTCTGGGAAGCTCCTGAGTTTTATAGATTCTCTTGGATAAAAATGAAGTCTACCAAGTAGACATAAATCACATTTTCTAGACGAAATTATGATTTAAGCTAACTTTGACAATTTTAAGTGTGTGTGTGTGTGGGGGAGGGGGGGGGGGGGGCGGTAGCGCCTCCGTAGATCCACCACTGATTATCATAATAGATTATTAATTTTGATGAGATTATACATGTTCTTATTAAGAGCCATTCTCTGTAATGATTTGAAATTTTATATAGGAGCTGTGGCACGCATAGTCTCAGAATTTCTCCAAACTCTCTATGATAAAAGGCATTGATACCCTGAACTGAAATCAGGCAAAAATTGGTTGCTATGTTTTATAGTTACCATGGCAACATGTCTTAAAGTTCGAAAAATGGCATTTTTTAACATGTTTAGAGCCCCATAGTTAACATTTGCGGCAAAGCAAACAATTGTTAATGACTCTTTCCAAAAGTTGAAGGTAAGATGTCTCAAATGCATGATAAACATGTTTGGTAAATCAACTATTACATACGTTACTTATGGTAACAAAGTATTCAAAAGTAAAAAAAAATATTCATTGAATTTTATGAAATCATACTCGTAAAAATGAAAAGCAATTATAGGATGAAATGTTACCAAATAATAGAAAAAAGAGCCTTGAAACACATACCAAGAAAAAATATTATATTTCATTTTGGTTGGCAATGGTTGCCAAGGTTTTTATGCCCCAGAGAGCCTTCAAAGTAATACTATGTATGTTTAAATATGATCCTATCTTTTAAAAAAGGCATATTTCCTCATAACTAATGATCAATTTTATAAGATGTTGGTGTGCTCCAAATTTTCCCATTTCAAAAAATTCAGATTAGATTCTTTAAATAGAGCGTTGCTATGGAAATAAGCAGAAAATATATGCTTAAAAACCTGAAAAATATTTTGTTTCCTTGGATACGTACCCTTAAATGTAGATTCCCAAAACTTTTATGATTGATATTTATTAACAGCTAACTTGACTTTTAATTTTGACTATCATCCAATCTCTAAGTGGATGCAAGAAGTTGGCACACAGGGTTTATATTGATATAAAGTTCAAAAAATCGAACATTTTCCCTTCTTGGTAACCATAGCAACAGTGTTGTTTTATTAATCATTTTTTATCAATATATGATATTTAACTTCAGTTCTAACAAATAAGACTATTCCAGCTGAGCTCTTTAATTTGTTTTTTGATTAAATGGCAATTTAATTCTTAATGCAGCGGAAAAAAATTTACTTTTAAGCACTGGTAATTTGTTTCCATGGTAACACTACAAAGTAGCAATTATACCCAATTTTTCTTATGGTTTTGGTGTTGCAAGGTCCTAAGGATGCATATTTACCAGTCTTGAATTTTCATGTTTTTCCTCAAGACAGTTGCATTAACCCAATCTTAGTTACTGGTTTTGCATGGTTACACTGTGTTACCATGGCAACCATAAAAGTTATTTATAGAATAATATTGCTTATACTTATAAACTTAAGGTCAAACATTTTCATTGTTTTTCTTAAGTCAATGATTGAGTTTTAGCATGTTACACCTACCATAAGTGAATATGGAGTGTTTTTCAGCATATTTCAGCATTTTAAATGTATTCCAAATGTACCCTTGGTTACCACTTACTTAGAGATAAATTCTAAACAGTTTCCTCACAGTATAAGTGACATCAAAGTGTCATGTTTTTGTTAGAATGGTTTGTTTGCTTTTTCTAGTTTTTATAAAGCCACAGTCAGGATTTAAAGTGGCTGAAAATCTCGATTTTTCAAACTTTTCCGGCTGTTGCCATAGCAACCGAGACACTTAGCAACGAAATTTTGTTTGATATTTGTTTCTGGTGTCAAGTACTAAGCATGGGTGAAGTTTCATCAAAATCGGTGACCATGCGTGGCAACGAAGTTTAAGTGGTTACAGAGAATGGCAATTAATTTCTGAGAAACCTGTTTGACATATGTAATAACGCAAACCATAACCTATAGGTTTACGATAAAAAACTTATCCAGAGAATTTGTCCTCGTTGAAGAAAAAAGAAGAGAGTGCGCAGACCCAGGAGGAGGAGGGGGGGGGGCAAAATATACTAATCATTTTCTTGATGAAACATTATATTTATTTAATGGTCGCCCACGTGGGGCATTGCTTAGAGCGTTTGCTCTAGAGTCGCCAAGTAATAAGTCAATCCTTATGTCGTGGGTTCGAATCCAACTGCGGGACGTGGAGACCGGTCCTTTGGATAAAACCGTATTAACTGGTCTCCCGTGTCGCAGTATGTGCTGGTACGAAAAAGATCCCTCACTGCTCAAAGGCCCTGAGTGCCCAGCATAGGAAAACATTTGTAGCCCTCCACCAGCAAGTGGTGGCGTCTCCATATGAGTGAAAAATTCTCGAGAGGGACGTTAAACAATAAACAATCCATCAATCAATTTATTTATTTCATGTATTTAAGAAATTTTTGAGCATTATGTCAGAATTGTTTTTTTTTTTTTTTTTTTTTGTATCTGACTGATATTTTTTTTTGTAGAATTGCTATATATCTTTGTTTCGTATAGATCTTTAATAAGGTATATTTTTCAAAGATTTGCTTCTAGATTGTGATAGCAAATTCCTATTTTGCAGACTTCGCTAGAGAAAGCTACACTACTCTAAGAACCACCGTCCAAAAAGCAATCTATATGACCTGAACACTGGAATTCTGATCATTTGACTGTTATGAATGCACAATTCGTGAGATCCCGATGAGGCGTAATGCATTCCATTTTTGCATAAGCAACTCTCAATTACCTTCTTTTTGAGATTTTCCAGCTAGAGCAATGGGAATCATTTAGTCATTTCAGGAAGCTATAGGCATTGCTTACGGAAAATGATCGGGAATTTTTTTTTTTTTATCGGAATATTGTTGCATTACCTATGATAAACAGCAACAAATCCTTGAAACTCGATAATAATGCCAATTCTTTTACTAAACATGCATTTTTTTAATTCAGTTAAGCATCCTCGAACTTCAATTATGGTGATGGTATGAAAATCGTTCAATCGTTAAATTACCAAGATTTTCAAAATTAAAATTTTCATACTTTTTTGATATAAAATTCTTTACCATACGAAGGGTGTTCAAAAAGTTCGCGAACACTCTTCATAGTTACAAAACAACGATATCTAGATCAGAGAGATATTTGGAACACCTAAACTCATGTTCTTGTTCTATAAATCGCATATGAAAAGTAATGAATTTCCCCTTCTTTGTGATGTCACAATGTGAAAACGACGTCAACATGTAGGAGCCTTATGACGAAATTAACATGTTGTTTTTTTCAGTCTTACTCAATCAATGAACGGCTGTAAACTTTAGTGTATAACATTTCTTTGAAGTATATTATAATAATTTGTATAAAGTTTATATAGATATTATTCTTTCTAGACATTTAACAAAAATAACTAGAAAGTCTGTTATTGCTGGCAATTTAGCGTTTGTCGCCCCGAGCTGGACAATACTTTCATTTTTTTCATCACTAAATGAAAACTCATTAGCTAAGCTTAGTCAACCACCAACTCCTATCAGTCATTTTAGTACTTTGATTTAAAAATCAAAGCTTAAAGAATTTTCACTTTCCCCCTATTTCCACAGCAACTATTGAAAATTGTTTTCTATGCTTTCATTCTAAAAAAAATTGAAATCACTTGACTGCAAACTTTTTAAAAATTTTGCATAAAATTGTCTGAAGGTAATATTGTCATATTGTTTGTAATGTTATTTGTCTGTTATATATATTTCACTGTTTGTTTGTATGAAGAATTGAAAATAAATAAATAAATAAAAAACTATTGACAATTTGCAATTTTTAATTGCAGATCTCACAAGAATGGATGCTAATCATTAAGGTCAAGATCTAGTAAATAGCTTGAGACTACTTTTTTTAGTGCTAGATCCATTATGACGTCATAATCAATTTCAACTTTCTTTTTTCCGCACTTTACGGCTTTAGCAGAATTATGAAGAAATAGGGTATTTTCATGACATTCAATTTGAAATCATATGAAAAGTAAACCGGATACCTATATTAAATATGATGTTAATTTAAAGAAGAGGCTTTGAACATATTAATTACCGTTTTTTGAGAGACTGTAGGCAATCTGGATACATTTCCTTTGTCGAATATGAGAAAAACTCCCATATTCATGACTGGTTTTCTTAATTTTCCATTGAAAATGACAGTTTAAAATACAGTTGTTCATCTTGTTTATCTGCAAATTATGCCCCGAAACACCTTATTTGACCATGCTATAGTTGTAAAGCATCAATAAAGGAATTCATTTCTCAAGTTTGATAAATCTGTAGGCACCTTTCATTTACTAGATCTTGACCTTTTAATAAAGTTAATAAAGTAAAGGTATAAACCCTTCCTGGACCAAACTTGCATGGATGATACATATCTTAGGATACACACCAATGGAACTGCTTCGGCTGCTGGATCTGGCATATATTTGATAGATAATGAACCATGTAAAAGTTACAGTTGCAGATATATTACCAAGAAAATATTACGCCTACTTGAAGCAACATTGTATGGGTGTTGCATCAAGAGATGAACACTCACAAATTGCAGGTTTGATATCAGATCAAAATTGCATAAATTTTGCATTTTGGATGTGAACTTCGAAATTGTAAGCTTAGTGTAGGACTCTACCTTACTTACAGACAACATTCGTTGAGGTGAGCTCTGATTGTCTATGTTTCATTATGGCGAAAGCTTTGGTATGTCTTGAACACTTGAACCTATGAAATTGTCTTCATTCTGCAAATAATATAAATAATAAAAAATATTTCACGTATAATTTATTTTTAAAAATAAATTAAAAAAACACAACAAAACAAGCTTGATAAACATCTAGTCACACAAGCATAGTCCAAGTACTGGTGACATGTTTATAATTATTACACATGCATAATACTGCACTAATCTCTATCTATAACATCCGAATGTGTGTGGCTTCCACTCTCATACTTTCGGGAAGTTCGTTCGTTCTTTCTTCGTTCTCTTTCCCGCTCAATAGCCTCGTGATAATAGCCGCAATATTTCCCTCGGTTAGCTCTTTCTAGTGGAGGCATGCTGAATAAATCCTGAGTGTATCCGAATAGGCTACATTCGGGTATTCCAGTTTGTGATACACCTATGTCTTTGTGGTAGTAACCTTAAATAAAATAGCAAATTGTGGCCATGGCGATACTTTTGGCTAATCATAGCAATTCATTTTCTATTACGAAAATAGTAAATTTCCGAACCTTGACCAAACCCCAGACCCATCTTTATAACACTGTAAGTATTTTTGTTTATTAAGCAAATTGATAAAACCAATTGCATAGTTAACGGTGAATACAAAGCTGGGAAAAAAATAATGAAAGAGCCAGAAAAGTACGAGAACATAACCGACCGAGTTAACGGTTTCATTTTCCCTTTCCTTTGAAATTTGTTCCCCTTACGTTTCCATTTAATTTAAAAAAAAAAAACCAAAAAAAAAAAAAACCACTGTGCTTATGCAATTTAGCTCCTTGCAGCTTTATTGCCAGTATAATAATCCCTACACCGCAAAATACAAAATTAACAGAGGGCTTGTCCCTTTGTCTCATGACGTCCACCTGTTAGTCCTCGCTCTGCATCTCCTTGGCGTCACGTTTTGTGTCTCTAGGTAACGATCAGTACTGGTGTTGCTTTTTCAAGGTCCTATCTGACGGCACGTAGTGGGAGGGGTCTCTCCAGATAAGTGACATTTTATCTCCTGTGAGGTAATTCTTGGTGGGGATAGGGTTGTGGGGCCCTCGGTCAAGCAGCCTGGTACCAGCTCGTATTCCGTACACTTAAACAGTACTTAACGTCGATTTGAACTAAAAAACTGAAAAAAGGCAGCTTTGAATGATAAGAATTTAAAATTATTTCTAGGCAGTGCACAATCTAGTAAAGTATTAAATATAATTAGAGATAGAGATAAACAATATAATAAAAAAAATCAGTAGTTTAAAGATATGGTCCCTGTTCCATACATTCATTATAAAGAACCTAGAAAATCACAAAAGTTCATACGCATACAAGTATGAGAACTCAATTTAAGACAAATCCTGTTTACGCACAAACAGTTTGTATGTGGATGGATGTTCGACCATTGGTATACATGTACTAGTGTTTACAATTATTAACTTCCGAAATACAAAAGTGACTCTTTAAGTGATTTATTTATGTCAATAGTATTTTGAGGCGGACAAACACAGGGCTTATCAATTTTAAGATACAAATCATTAATGTGTGGTCTAACTGTTAAAGGAAGTTTATTAAGTGTTTGTGTAGCATTGTGAATTATCATTGTATGTAATCAGCAGGATATGTTGTCGATTTTTATTTTTTAATTTTAGCGTGAAACATGAATTAATGATAAGCAGATGTATAAACATAAGACAGTGAAAACAGAATTGTACATCAATTTTCCAGGATAGACAAGTGTAAACTGAACTGTTGTTCCAATGGACAAGTATTAATTAAAAGGATAAAAGGATAACTAAAGGTTTTAATAAATTGAACTGTAGTATTTATGTTTTTACAGGTACACATTTCACAAAAGAGGATTGAATCAAAAGGTTAATTACTTAGAACATGGTTGCGTTGTTGCAGATAAGCTTGGGGTTCCTTAATAAAAAAATTGTAGTTAACTATAGGGAATATAAGTGTTAAAGTTTTCGCCATTTTTTTTTTCAAAGTGACAAAGTTTTCAAAACTATAATATGTTTTTCTTAGGGTTATCTAAACTGCTTACTCTACCTGTATAGCTGAGACTCGCCGGTTGGTTGATTGATTGTATACTGTTTTACGTCCCTCTCCAGAATAATTCCTTTATATGGAGACGTCACCATTGCCGATGAAGAGCTGCAAATTTAGGCCTATGCTCGGCACTTACAGCCTTTGAGCAGGGAGGGATCTTTATCGTGCCACACCTGCTGTGACACGGGGTTTAGGTTCATACCGTCTCTTCCGAAGCACCTCCTCATTTAGCCGCCTTTCACGACAAGCAAGGGGGTACTGAGGACCTGTTCTAACCCAGATCCTAACAGGACCTCGCCAGGTGGGGAAACACGTCGGTTTTTAAGCAAACGTTAACAACGTAGCAAAATTAACGCAATTTGACAGGTATTTGCCTAAACTTGAATGATTAAGAAGATTTTTGATTTTAAATGTTTTTATATTACATTTAGATCTACCATATGACTTCTCGGGTGACCATACCAGAATATTTTCTACTCAGTGACAGGAAAACCTTTTTTTAATGTTATATCACCCTCTGTCTTCTGCACCGGGTGACATAATACTCCAGGGATGTCCTGGGGCAAATATCTTGGTATGTGGCCATCTAAACAATTTTTAATAGTCCGAGCTTTCCTGTCAACTTGGCAAATATCTTGCTATGTCAACCTTGAAGCCATGTGACATCATATGCATAATGTCGTGATTTACAACATGTCTAAATGCCACACCTAGACAGGCGAATTAGTTATATTGAGCAGTCTCAGTTATCTACTAGGTCACGTGTCACTACAAAGAACCCATATCAATCTTGAACGAAAGTGACTGGTATAACTCTAAAATTGAAGTCTTCTTCCGGCCACCGCGACATCTTTATATGATTTAAGAAATTTTTAATGGAAAATCAAACAGCACACAATCAATCAACTATATAAAATTTGACTCTAAATAAGAAATAAAATTCATTGTTTCGAAGATCAAAACCAACAAGCAATAGGAACTCTTCAGGCCTTTCCTGACTAGCGGAAAAAACGATTTCGAATGTATTAAGTAGACAACATTACACCCCTTTTTTCTCAAACTTTGCAATAAATATAGGAGGACCTCTTATCTATGGATTATGGAGTTAAACTTTGTTAAATGTAAAGATATCAACTAAAATATACTGTCAACTTGTGGCAAAAAGAAAAAAATTAGATCCTAGTATCAAATGTTTAAAAACCAGGAAGATGTATACATTCCTAAGATGCTTGTACATTCGAAGTTGTTTTTCTGAGGTTTGACGGAAATGCCCGAGATGATACGATTGGACTCACTGTCAGACGTTGAATAGTTCAAGGAAAGAAGAAAAACACTATCATTGATTCACTATAGAAAACAATACTATAGTGAGAGCTTCTTGAATTGGGAGGTCTACAAAGAAAGTAAGTATTACTTCGACAATACTTTTGTTTTATTTGTTTACAGTAGACAAGAGTAGAATGAACAAGGGAGATAATTTTACTTGATTCTAGTACAATCGATTATACCGATATACATATGAATTTGTTGATTTAAATTTATTTTAACCATTTTTGTAAGTAAGCATTTCTAATCAGATCATTTTGATTTAATAAAAGAAGTTGTTATAATTTGCTCACACAATAACATTATTCTGAGTAACATGAACAAGGAAATTAACAAACAAGGAAGTCCCCAATTAGAGGTCACGTCATTTTATATTACATAAATCTGTGTATTAAAAGCATTCAATTCAACAGTAATTTTTTTTTATTTTAAAAATGGTCCTTTGAATTAACATTGACTGACAAATTTCAAAAATACCCACATGGTTTCTCAAATTACTAATTGTTTTCCCCATTTCCGGCTGATATGAAGTTCCGGTCTGTTTAGGGATCGTCTCGGAGCACACGTTTTAAGTACAGCAAAAAAAGTCATTGTAAACATGAACGTCCGCATGTCCTTTCAGTTTTATTCAAAAAACAAGTGAATCAAATTTTACATTCAAATATATGTGAACATTTTTGAAAAATCTTTTAAGAAACCACTGGATTAGGAAAGCTGAAAGTTATTTGGAAGCATGCTCGATAGTGCAGATTTTCAATTTCGAACCCTTGAACACCAGGAATAAGCCAGAGCCAAAATTGGAAATCAAAGTTTTGCATTGAAAAATATAGGGGAAAACCTTACACTTATATGGATCACTCCTTGAGTAGTGTACTAGATTCTAAATTGTTCAAATAATGAACCTTGGGGAGGGACAGGGCCACAGTAATTAAACCAAGTTTTACATTGAAATATTTAGCTCAAGTCTTTGAAAGTCTTCTCAAAAACCACTGGGCCAAGAAAGCTGAAACTTAACCTGGGAAATGTTAATTCTTAATACTGTAAATCATGTCCCCCGGGCGAAGGGTAGGTCTACAACAGGTATTGAAATGGGAAAACCTGAGAACAGCATTGCCACTTACAAAGGTGCGCGTTGCGGCCCATGGGCCTCTTGATAAGAGTTTCAGTGGGGGATGACAGGGGGTGGGTACGTAATAAAATCTTTCATAATGTTCTTATCTTCATGCCATATCTCAAAGAAACTCTAAAAATGATCTCATCTCTTTAAAGAAGTATCTTTACTCGGATTTATTATATTGATGAACAAAATAAAAATTAATGATCTTGTTTGCAATGCAAGTTTTATTCCATCCAAGATATCTTATTATACCCCAAACTTCATTTATTAAAAGCATGGGGTATTATTTTCCATTTTATTGATTGGTCCCAACATGTTTATTCCATAGCAGATTTAAATAAAGTCCTTTGCTCGAACTGTGCATTTTCTAAACATTGATATTACATGTAACTAATTATAATTATTAAATTATGGGTTCATACCAAGATCGATCTCTTAAAAATAATAAATAAATAATCCTAATGAAGTTGCTGCAAACTCGGAATTGCAATTGAGATATAACTCACGTACTTAATTAAATCCCACATCTATAGTCTATACTCATAACATTTCATCAAAAGCCTGTACAATAGCTGATGAATTTGTTACATCTTGGGGATTTTTAAAATGATATAAAACTAGAGGTACTGTGAGCAATGAATATAATGGCAGGGTCCATGTTTTGTTGTGAGACACCTAAAATAAAAAACGGAGTATGTGTCAGATCAGAGAGTTAAATATTAGGTGCACAACGGCAATATATGATAAATTTCTGTGAATATTATCAAATTTCATTCAGTGGTATGGGAGGAGTTGAGAATAAAGGATTAGTATCCCAAAGCGTAACAGACAGACTGACAAACGTACGGACTGTCTTACATACGGACGGACACACATACTATACATACCCTCCCGCTTTTCACGCGGGGAAATAGCAAAAACTTAGCTTTGTCTGAAACCTGAATAGTTGCGTTAGTACAGCACCTGACTAGTGAAACACCACAAGGCTTAATTTTATTTTTTACAAATATGGTACATTATTTTGGTGCAATTGGCCATTCCTTGAATTTCAGGTGAAAGCCTTGCTAGAGGAAATACAAAGCAAAAAGAACAGAAAAAGGAAATATATCAAATAAATAATTCTAAGCTCCCCCTTTTTTTAAAACTAATCTTTATCAAATTGCATGTTTGGTATGATGAGTCACTGAAATAAATTTTAAACTTAATTTAAACAATAATCAAATTTGTTTGAATTGGTTTTGTAAATTTTGACAGCCTACCACAAAATATGATGTCAAGGTTATAGTGCATTGTGAAGATACCTTATTACATTCACCATTATGCACAGGTTTACATTTTCTTTATATTTGAAGAAGATAAAGAAATACACTAGAATCTTAAAAGCTCAGACTAATTACAACAATTATATTCATATATCTAAAACAAAAATTGTTTTGTTCTTATATAAGCCGTTTATTTTACAAAAAATATATTAAATGCATATTTAGTTTATTTTAAGTTTATTTTGACAGATTTCCAAGGATGTGCTATATGACGTTGGTGTGATAAGACTTCCGTGGAAAAATTCAAAGTTTGTGAAATTTGTTCCTAAACATTTCAAGGAGACACATACAAATGCGTCATAAAATACTTAGACCCTTACTTTAGTCAAAAACCTAGAAAAGTTTGCTTTTTTCAAACTTAAGAATCGCCAGTCGAATAGGATGAATAATTTTACCAATAACCATAACTCTGTACTGTGTTCATTTATTTATTTTTTTTATTTGTTTTGTTAATTTTGACAGTTATCACAGAATGAGATGTCAACTTTTTAGAATGTGAAGATAATTACGATCGTAAACAGGTTAACATATTTCTTGATATTTGGAGAAGATAAAGCCATACATTTAGAATCTAAAATATCATTTTTACAGGATTATTACAACAATTACATTCATATGTCTATATCTATCGCAGAAAGTATAATTCTAAGTTTGTTTTACAGAAATATATACTAAATGTATAATGATCTTATTTTGACAGATTTCCAAAGATGTGCTGTATACGGTAACTGTAAATGAAGAAATTGCTTGTCCACAGGTTTCTGACTATCTTTCCGAATATACGGGGGATATATTATCAATATAATCAAATAATTTTTAAAATTAATCTATCAAAATATAAATATACATTTATATAGGAATTACAAAAAATCTAATAATTGAGTAATACTACAGGATGTTTCAGAAAACATGCAACAGTTTTGACTGATTGTTCTTTATATCGTTTTTAAAAGTATAATGAAGAATTTATGCCATTTACTCATTTTTGTCTGGTTCCAGGTGTTGTATTTTAAAGTGTGGTTTCGGAAAGAAGAGGACATCCCAATTTTACAGGTGAATTTAAGTTGAAGCTTTTCTGAGCCGAAGGCTAATTGAAATTTTTTGATCGAAATTTGTCCGATGTCTGTCGTCGTTGTCAGGTTTTCTCAATTTTATCTTCTTTTCCAAAACCACAAGACCAACTACGATCAAACATGGCACAAAGTATCCTTGAGTGAAGGAGAGTCAAGTTTAATTGAAGGGCCGTACTCTTTTCCATTAGGAGATAAGTAATAGATATATGCCGAATACTGTTCTATATGTAAAATTATCAGATTGTTTGAGGCCCGTTAGGGCCGAAAACTGTCTGATAATTTTACATATAAAATAGTTTGAGGCATATATCTTGCTTAAAACATTGCCATTTAAATGTCCTAAAGTTACCTGGAGGAGTCTGATAATAACACAATGGGAGTTCAGGCATCCATTGCTTTCTACCCGTCTGATAAGTAGATAAAAGAAATGAGTGAACGGTAAAAATAAGTGAGTGAACTCTTGTTTCATTAATTTCATTCATTCAATGGCAGTCGTTTCGTTTAGCAGGACAGGGGTACGGTGGTGAAATATTTTTTGGGGAACATTTTTTATCTTTTGTTATCATTTTGTTATCATTGCCGTCCGACAATACATTATCAGACTGGTAATTATTATTATGGCTACAGGTAAATTTTTAGACTGCAAGAACAAAGGCTTGACGTCACAGCAATGTTTTAATTTAGGATAAGTAAAAAAATAGTGAAAATAACTGAAAAAAAATCTTCTGAAGTAACCTTGGGCCAGTAATGTTAAAACTTGGGTTGAATTATCCTCAGGTTATAGAGATTCCAATTCGGTCAAAGTATAACCATTCAGAGGAAGGATGGGTCACAAAGCCATAAAGCTTGACATGGAAATGTAAAGGAGATTCTTGTTTTTTTTTTTAGAACAATAGAATTAATACATGTCTTTGAATAGAAGCATCCTCAGATAGTTCGAATTCAGAATTGTTCAATTTATACCCTCATGTTTTGGTTGTAGCCACAATGTATCAACATATTTCTACATAACAATCAGCGCAGTAGTAAAAATTCTAAGAATGTATGTTTAAATCAAATCTGAAAACTTCCGCTGTGCATAAGATGTGAAGACTATTTATGATATGTCCAGCATTTATTAATACCTTCTGTATAATTATTGCAGAGAGTTATTAAAAAATAACTGGAAAATAATCTTACAAATATTTTGAAAAACTCCGTATATAAGAAGCACAATTATTACTTTTGGGATCTTCTTGTATTTAGAGCTCTACGAGGGCTGTTCAAAAATTACGCGGACTGTGTTAATATTTACTCTTACAGACGTCGTATAGTTATGAAATTTCACAGAAATATGTATCTTTAATATTCCAATGAGTTTTGGGCAAAATGATTTTCGAAAATTGTAGGTATGTTGATACTGTTGATGAAGAGGTACGGAGCAAGAAAAAAATTTGAAGCCAAAACATGCGAGATCCAAAATTTAACTCATTATTTTTCGACAATTTCCTCAGATGCTTCTTTAAATTGTTCCATTATTATGTATTTAAATTTCTGACATGATATTTTAAGTACTAACTGTAGCACAAACAGAGTCAAGATAGCATTGAGAATTAGTTTATTACAACATGTGCAGCACATCATGAATAACAAGGAAGATAAGTCTATTATAACATTTACACATTTACATATGACATCAGCATAAGAGTTACAATTCTTAGATACAGATACTGTCACATATCCCCTTTTAAGTTAACTGCAAAATGTTTGTTTAAATTTTATTTGAAATAAATTTGCATTTTATCATTATAATAAAACAGCTCTCAATATTTCTACTTTTTTTGTTTAACTACAACTAACAAAACTGAACTACAAAATGAACAATAAATGTACACATCAGATTCAGAAATTCACTTTAACTGTTTGAATTAACACTCCGTCACCAGCCTACGAGGTGCTTTGATGACCCGACCACTCGATGTGGTAACACTAGTTGTTTCGTCTCCAGAATTGATAGACGGACCATCCACACGGTTAGAATTATCACAAAACAAATCACAGTGACTGTTAACAGACTCTTCGGTATCTACTGGTTGTTCCGTGCTCAGTTCTTTCGTTTTGATAAGGTCCTCCTCACGGTGGTATTCCCTTGTTGTACAAAATACGATCTCGGTGTTTCTGCAGGTCTAACGATTCTCCCTGGTGTTTTGATAGACTGTCCTGGAATCCTAACACGTACTACATCTCCGTTGTCAAGAGGTTTAAGAGGTTTTGAATTGCGGTCGTAAAGAGACTTTTGTGCATCTTAAATGTTCTGGAGTTCCTCGCGAACAAGTTCTGAGTTAAATCCCATCGGTCGCAATTTGGATTTGACGGTTGGTACAAGTGTCCTTGTGGTTCGTCCAAATAGAAGCTGTGCTGATGAAAGTTTTACTCCTGGTATTTCTGAATTCCTCAACTCGATAAGCGCAATATACGGATCCTTGTGGTCATCTTGTGCCTTCCTAAACAGGTTTTTGATGGTCTGTACAGCTCTTTCAGCCATACCGTTGCTCTGTGGATATCTCGGCGAAGATGTAATATGACGGAAGTCATATTCCTTCTAAAAGTTTTTGAATTCATGGTTTGCGAATTCCGGTCCATTGTCACAAATGAACTCTTCAGGGATTCCTAATCGAGCAAAGTGTTGCTTCAGAATGTTGATAACGGTGGCGGCTTTCCCATCTTGTAAGCGGTTGACTTCTATGAACTTTGAGAAGTAGTCAACGGTTATCAAGTATCTTGTGTTCCCAAAAAACATAATGTCCGCTGCAACTTTCTGCCAAGGACGATTTGGGATCTGATGTGGTATCATTGGCTCCTTTTGCTGCGCATTTCTGTAGCGGTTGCAAATGTTGCACTGTTCTATTATGTCCTTCAACTGCATGATTATTCCTGGCCAAAACAATGTTGATTTAGCTTGCTTTATACATTTCTCTTGTCCCAGGTGACTGCTGTGTAGAATTTTCATGACGAAGCATCAACGGAAAGTTTGACATCCTCATTAACGTCGAAATATTTCAATGTCGGCGTTGATGTTATTGCTCCCTTTAGATCATTAAAGGCTTTTTCCTGTTCTTCACTCCAGTGCCATGCGACGTCGGTTTCTAGCAACTGTCTGAGTGATTGATTCCTGGTAGACAAGTTTGGAATAAACTTTCCTAAGTAATTGATCATCCCCATGAATCGCTGTAGTTCCTTCTTGTTTTCCGGTGCTGGAATTGCTAGAATTGCTTTGATTTTTTCACCACTGGGCTTCACACCATCTGAACTGAAAACATGTCCTACATACTCAACTTCTGATTTGTTTACTTTGCACTTGTCTTTTTTGAAAAGTAATCCAACATCCTCAGCTCTCTTCAGTATTTGACTTAGCTTTTCTAAGTGTTCCTGTTCACTATCTGCCCAAATCAAAATGTCATCTGCAATCACTTCACAAGGCTGATTTTCAAATACATGAGACATGGCCCTCTGAAACACTTCCGGCGCTGACGATATTCCAAACGGAAGTCTCTCGAAGTTAAATCTTCCAAACGGTGTATTGAATGTGGCAAGCCACGAACTCTCCTCGGTCAGCTGTATTTGATAGAATCCTGAAGCGGCATCCAGAGTTGTAAAATGCTTCGCATGCTTAAGGTTAGCAGCCACTTCCTCCACGGTCTTAAGTGGATAGTGTTCCCTTAAAATAGCCTTATTCAGTTATCGCAGATCCAAACAAATCCTGACTTTCCCATTTGGTTTCTTGACGATTACAATAGGGCTGACCCACTGAGTTGGGGTTTCCACTTTCGAGATTATCTTCATAGATTCCATCCTCTGTAGTTCTTCTTAAACTTTGTCCTTCAAAGTATGTAGTATTCTCCGAGGTGGTGCAACTACTGGTGGTATGCTGAAATCAACCTTGATGTCATATTTCCTGGAAGACATCCAATTCCATGAAATAAATGATCATATTCTTTCAACAGTCCTTCTGCACTTTTAGTACTTTGATTCTTCTTCACTGTATGCACACGATTCTTTAATTTCAAGTCAATGCTGGACTTGAGTCCGAGAACAGGTTGGACGTCATCATCAACAATCTGTATTTCTAGAAGAAAATACTGGTCCTTGTGTCTCACGGACGTAAGTACTTTTCCACAGGCTTTAACGGCATGTCCAGAGTAGGAAACTAATTTACTGTTGCTACGCATTAACTGTTTAGTGTCAATGTTGGCATACTTGCACGCTTTAAGACTCATGACATTGCACTGGGCTCCAGTGTCAATTTTAAAGTTAATAGGTTTTGCATCATTGACTAGTAGCTTCACTGTCCAATCATCATCCTTGTGTGTGTCAATAGAATACATGAAAAAGTCATCATCTGAGTCTTCACAGCTCTCTTCAATATGATGAAATTTTGCTTTTCTTGGGTTTCTGTGTTTCACAGGATGTGTCCTCATCTTAGACTTGCACACGACTGCGAAATGGTTCTTCTGATTACACTTATTACATGATTTTCCATAAGCTGGACAATGATCTGGCCCCTTACGATGATCTAATCCACAGTATTTACACTGACCTTTATGTTGGGGTTGTGCATCCTTTTGTGTGTATCTCTGCTTCTTGTCTCTGACTGCGTGAACGTTTTTCTCGTCTCCCATTTCTCGGAGCTGCGATTCCGACACTTCCGCTGCCCTACAAATGTCTATGACACTCTGCAGTGTGAGTTCTTGTTCTCGTAACAATCTGGCACACACAGTATCACTTCGAATTCCATAAACGATTCGATGTCTTATTAAAGAATCTCTCAGTTCACCAAATTCACATACACTTGCCTTTTGTTTGAGCTCAGTCACAAATGCGTCGACCGGTTCTCCCTCCTTCTGAGATCTTGTGTTAAAACTGTGCCTCTCGTAGGTTACATTTTTCCTAGGATTGCAATATTCCTAAAATTTCTTTTTGATATCTGCTACCTTAGTCTTATCGTCGTTTTCCGTCCACGTGAATGTGTTGTAGACATCAATGGCGTCCGGTCCTAACACGTGGAGTAGGGTCATCCCCTGGACTTTGTCTCCTTTGCTTGCGACACCGCTCGCTACAGCGTAAGCATCGTACTGCTGTTCGAATCTTCTCCAGTTCTCCGCTAAGTTTCTAGTAAGGTTAAGTCCGGATGGCAGCGGTAACCGATCCATTTTTCAATTTTTTTTTCTTCTGACACCATGAAGCACAAACAGAATCAAGATGGGATTGAGAACTAGTTTATTACAACACGTGCAGCATCATCATGAATAACAAGGAAGATAACTTTATTATAACATTTACACATTTACATATGACATCAGTATAAGAGTTACTGTTCTTAGATACAGATACTGTCACACTAACAGAATTATGGTGATTTTTCTCCGATGCGATTCCCGTGAAAACGACTGTAAAAATGAATTCTGAATTGATGGCGCTCCACACTTATGTTAAATTGCGTGTAATGCTCGAGAATTCGCCAACATAGATAAAAAATATGCATAATTAAACATTTAGTAAGCTAGAGTATTCGTGACATTCGTACACAAATAGCAAAATGAAATTTTAGACCGTTTGACCTCTGTAAAGATGCCATACTGGAGGACGGAAAGACAATTATCAACGAAAACTTTATCCAGACTGTAAAGAACGTGATTGAGAGTCGCCGATATCATACTATATCTCATAAATACCAGCATTTTTAAAACAAAAAAGAATATTCTCTCCTTGTTTAATAGATTTTAAGCTTGACAAGAAATGGTGTTTGGATATTGAGTAAGTGAGGTAATTTAAACTGTACAGGTGCTTCTGGTAAAATGTTGAGAAAATGAAAGCTCAATCACACATTCTTTTTATAATACCTGTGACGTCGAAGATTTTGCTGCTCCGTGACTTAATGATATGTCCTGATAAATCACTCAAGATCGATACCAATTTATATCATTTTGATATGAAATTTTAAAGACCATATCAGTAAAGATGCTTTTATATTATGTGTGACATTTTGCCCCATCATGTCGTAAAATATTTTTTCAGTCCAACAAGTCCGCGTAATTTTTGAACAGCCCTCGTTTATTTTCAAATCAATAGCGATGATAAAAATTCCTTATGACATTTCTCATATTTAAAACACTCTAAATATTTCCAATCTTCATGTGCAAGTATCATGTCCTTTTTACTTCGCAAGATGTACAATTATGAAATATTAACAGTAAAAAAAAAAAAAGAAATTCCTTAATAACGCGGGGGAGGGGATATAAAATACATGGTGACTGCCTTGAAATATAAAATATATTTAGGCGAGGAAAAGAAAATGTGAAAGAGGGCGAGGCTTGCCAAACCCTCTTACGTTTTCTATCCGAGCCGAAATATCTCATATATTTCAAGACAGCTATTATGTATTTTTGTTATCTTTCAACATATTCTTTACCCTTGAAGGTCTAAAGCTATCGATTTTCGCTAGATTTATGCACATCTGTGCAGTTGAAACTCTGACACCATGGCATAAACAAAGCAATATACATGACGTCACAATGATTTTAGATGGTCAGAATACATGCACGAGGCTTTATTAAGGCAGTGAAGGGATAAAGCTTTGGTTTTTCAGATTACCTTTATAAGGACAATGCAAGGGGTACTTGCAGCATAAATATATATGGAAGTTGAATTTATTTCTGTTTTATAATTTACTATAGAGATATTGTCCACCACTCGTTATCCCCCTTTTCCCAGTAGTATTACTGTTTGTATACTGCATTGTAGGTACACTGTTAATTATCTGTATATACACCTGTCTCTGTGACAGTAGTCTCCTCTCTGTTTGTATACTGTACTGTAGGTACACTGTTAATTATCTGTATATACACCTGTCTCTGTGACAGTAGTCCTCTCTGTTTGTATACTGTACTGTAGGTACACTGTTAATTATCTGTATATACACCTGTCTCTGTGACAGTAGTCCTCTCTGTTTGTATACTGTACTGTAGGTACACTGTTAATTATCTGTATATACACCTGTCTCTGTGACAGTAGTCCTCTCTGTTTGTATACTGTACTGTAGGTACACTGTTAATTATCTGTATATACACCTGTCTCTGTGACAGTAGTCCTCTCTGTTTGTATACTGTACTGTAGGTACACTGTTAATTATCTGTATATACACCTGTCTCTGTGACAGTAGTCCTCTCTGTTTGTATACTGTACTGTAGGTACACTGTTAATTATCTGTATATACACCTGTCTCTGTGACAGTAGTCCTCTCTGTTTGTATACTGTACTGTAGGTACACTGTTAATTATCTGTATATACACCTGTCCTGTTTCTGTAGGTACACTGTTAATTATCTGTATATACACCTGTCTCTGTGACAGTAGTCCTCTCTGTTTGTATACTGTACTGTAGGTACACTGTTAATTATCTGTATATACACCTGTCTCTGTGACAGTAGTCCTCTCTGTTTGTATACTGTACTGTAGGTACACTGTTAATTATCTGTATATACACCTGTCTCTGTGACAGTAGTCCTCTCTGTTTGTATACTGTACTGTAGGTACACTGTTAATTATCTGTATATACACCTGTCTCTGTGACAGTAGTCCTCTCTGTTTGTATACTGTACTGTAGGTACACTGTTAATTATCTGTATATACACCTGTCTCTGTGACAGTAGTCCTCTCTGTTTGTATACTGTACTGTAGGTACACTGTTAATTATCTGTATATACACCTGTCTCTGTGACAGTAGTCCTCTCTGTTTGTATACTGTACTGTAGGTACACTGTTAATTATCTGTATATACACCTGTCTCTGTGACAGTAGTCCTCTCTGTTTGTATACTGTACTGTAGGTACACTGTTAATTATCTGTATATACACCTGTCTCTGTGACAGTAGTCCTCTCTGTTTGTATACTGTACTGTAGGTACACTGTTAATTATCTGTATATACACCTGTCTCTGTGACAGTAGTCCTCTCTGTTTGTATACTGTACTGTAGGTACACTGTTAATTATCTGTATATACACCTGTCTCTGTGACAGTAGTCCTCTCTGTTTGTATACTGTACTGTAGGTACACTGTTAATTATCTGTATATACACCTGTCTCTGTGACAGTAGTCCTCTCTTTTTGTATACTGTACTGTAGGTACACTGTTAATTATCTGTTTATACACCTGTCTCTGTGACAGTAGTCCTCTCTGTTTGTATACTGTACTGTAGGTACACTGTTAATTATCTGTATTCACCTGTCTCTGTGACAGTAGTCCTCTCTTTTTGTATACTGTACTGTAGGTACACTGTTAATTATCTGTATATACACCTGTCTCTGTGACAGTAGTCCTCTCTGTTTGTATACTGTACTGTAGGTACACTGTTAATTATCTGTATATACACCTGTCTCTGTGTCAGTAGTCCTCTCTGTTTGTATTCTGTAATGTAGGTACACTGTTAATTATCTGTGTATACACCTGTCTCTGTGACAGTAGTCCTCTCTGTTTGTATTCTGTACTGTAGGTACACTGTTAATTATCTGTATATACACCTGTCTCTGTGACAGTAGTCCTCTCTGTTTGTATACTGTACTGTAGGTACACTGTTAATTATCTGTATATACACCTGTCTCTGTGACAGTAGTCCTCTCTGTCTGTATACTGTACTGTAGATACTCTGTTAATTATCTGTATATACACCTGTCTCTGTGACAGTAGTCCTCTCTGTCTGTATACTGTACTGTAGGTACACTGTTAATTATCTGTATATACACCTGTCTCTGTGACTGTAGTCTCCTCTCTGTTTATATACTGTACTGTAGGTACACTGTTAATTATCTGTATATACACCTGTCTCTGTGACAGTAGTCCTCTCTGTTTGTATACTGTACTGTAGGTACACTGTTAATTATCTGTATATACACCTGTCTCTGTGACAGTAGTCCTCTCTGTTTGTATACTGTACTGTAGGTACACTGTTAATTATCTGTATATACACCTGTCTCTGTGACAGTAGTCCTCTCTGTTTGTATACTGTACTGTAGGTACACTGTTAATTATCTGTATATACACCTGTCTCTGTGACAGTAGTCCTCTCTGTTTGTATACTGTACTGTAGGTACACTGTTAATTATCTGTATATACACCTGTCTCTGTGACAGTAGTCCTCTCTGTTTGTATACTGTACTGTAGGTACACTGTTAATTATCTGTATATACACCTGTCTCTGTGACAGTAGTCCTCTCTGTTTGTATACTGTACTGTAGGTACACTGTTAATTATCTGTATATACACCTGTCTCTGTGACAGTAGTCCTCTCTGTTTGTGTACTGTACTGTAGGACACTGTTAATTATCTGTATATACACCTGTCTCTGTGACAATAGTCCTCTCTGTCTGTACACTGTACTGTAGGTACGCTGTCAATTATCTGTATATACACCTGTCTCTGTGACAGTTGTCCTCTCTGTTTGTATACTGTACTGTAGGTACACTGTTAATTATCTGTATATACACCTGTCTCTGTGACAGTAGTCCTCTCTGTTTGTATACTGTACTGTAGGTACACTGTTAATTATCTGTATATACACCTGTCTCTGTAACAGTAGTCCTCTCTGTTTGTATACTGTACTGTAGGTACACTGTTAATTATCTGTATATACACCTGTCTCTGTGACAGTAGTCCTCTCTGTTTGTATACTGTACTGTAGGTACACTGTTAATTATCTGTATATACACCTGTCTCTGTGACAGTAGTCCTCTCTGTTTGTATACTGTACTGTAGGTACACTGTTAATTATCTGTATATACACCTGTCTCTGTGACAGTAGTCCTCTCTGTTTGTATACTGTACTGTAGGTACACTGTTAATTATCTGTATATACACCTGTCTCTGTGACAGTAGTCCTCTCTGTTTGTATACTGTACTGTAGGTACACTGTTAATTATCTGTATATACACCTGTCTCTGTGACAGTAGTCCTCTCTGTTTGTATACTGTACTGTAGGTACACTGTTAATTATCTGTATATACACCTGTCTCTGTGACAGTAGTCCTCTCTGTTTGTATACTGTACTGTAGGTACACTGTTAATTATCTGTATATACACCTGTCTCTGTGACAGTAGTCCTCTCTGTTTGTATACTGTACTGTAGGTACACTGTTAATTATCTGTATATACACCTGTC